GATCTGGGAATGGTTTAGATTCACAATTTGAATAATAATTTTCATCAAAAAAATTATTAAAAAAAGTTTGAAATTTTCAAATTAAAGACGTGTACACAGGACAACGTCTGTCGGGTCCGCTAGTTATCTATAAAATCTAAATTTGGAAATCGATTTTAAATATGTAATTTGGTGAAATCTTAATGTCATTTGCAATATTTTTTTTTATTTTTTCTCTATCGAGCTGATAATGTTGGAGGTAGGGCATAGTGGAACTGTTCATATCTTTCATTATCTATTAGAAAAAATACAAAAACTGTAATGTAAGAGTATACATACTAATATGTAAAACCTAAGAATTTGATTTTTGGTCATCTGAACGCGGACGGAGCCGCGGGCAATGCTAGTAAATAAATAAGTATTAAAATATATATTTTTTAAAGATGGAGCTTGAGATAAATATTTGTAAACGTTATTTAAAATGAAATAGCGATAACATTATTTCAGTCCACCCCATAAAAACAATAGGTTTTATAACGATCTAAAAAATGGCATATGTACGAACCGCCCACACGGTATAAAGTGTCACATTTTGACAAAAAAATAAAAAAAATAGAACCCCAAATAACTGAATGCAGCGGAAGTTAACGCCCACGGAACCCTTTTAAAAAATAATAAGTCCTTTATTGAGAACGTGTTTTTGATACAAAAAGTATTTGTAAGGGAATTTTTTGTAGGACATCTGTTCTAGTAGCGCTTAGTGAGTAAGATGTCATGTTTTTGCATAACCTATTTATGTATGTTGGTTTGTTGGAATTTTTGCGGTCTATTAAAAATTAAAGGCAGTAATAAATTATATAGAGACTGTCAGTGCAAACTGGTCTAAGCCCAAGTATTTATAAAAAAAATATTTTTGATGTATAATAATAATAATTGCTATTTGAACAGCAAACTATCCAACCAGGCAAAGGAATACATTTTATATATTGTATTTTTTTACGTTTATGTGTATATTGTTTTATATTTTATTATAAATATATATTATATTTATATTATATTGACTGTCTTCCTTTTTTTTCAAATCTTCTCACCAAAGGTTTTGTGGTACAGATTGATTTAAGCAATAAAACCGTCTTTGCAAGCTTTTTGTATTTTCTTAGACAACACCTGTACTTATTGTCAGCTTGCTTGCAAAATCAAGTGAAGCGGGTTCAAATCCCGGGTCCTGCACTTTTGATATACTCATGTATAAATTATTTTAAATATGATTACACAAATTATAATTTACCTTACTTACGGTGATAGCAAACATCGTGAGGAAACCTGTATGTCTGAAAGAACTTAGCAAGTTTTCTAAAGACATGTGAAGTGGTTAACCTTCTATTTAAGGGAGGCTCGTACCCAGCAGTGGGATGTTGAAAAGGGTTGAATACATACATATATATACAATACAATCACTATTACTAATTTTCAAGCTCTTTGGCACTTAAGCCCTTTTTGTTTTCGGTTCTCTAACTAGCAATGTATTATCTTTATAGTTTTAATTTTCCTTACTATTATTCTACCTTTCTTGCCTGCAGATCCTGAGGTCCCGGGTTCAATTTTCAGGTTGGATCAAGAATATATTGGGTTTTATTGTAAAAAAATTTGTAGTGGCCGCCAGAAATTAGAAGTTAGGCTATTAACTCTTACTCAGGTAGAGTAAATAGCCGTCGGTACTGCATCAGATATTTTACCAATTTTGTCAGATTACCCCAACGGAATATAAGAGTTAAAAGAAAGAGTGTACTCGTATTATACATGCCTGCACTATAATAACTATTGTATGGCTAGTCTATAGTCTATAGTCAATGAGGATACTTTGACTGAATTTAGTCTGGTGGGGTTTAATATTTTCATGCTATTACTTTTCCTGGTAGTGTAAATTATTTTGACAATATCAAGGAGCTGTAAGTAAAGGATGTACACACTATCCATACTAATATTATAAGTGTGAAAGTGTGTTTGTTTGTACTTGTACTTTTTACCGCAGGAGATTATCTCATTCCCATGGGAAAACACGTTATTATACAATCCAAATTAATATTTATGATCAGAATTACTTGAAACTTGGTATTAATGCTCTTCAATATAATAAATTATATACTTTTTTCGATTATTTAGATTTCGACCCAACCATAAGGTGGAAAAATAGCGGATGAAAGTTTGTATGAAACCTACCATTTTAGAGTTTTTTTTGTAGTTTTAGCGCGAGCGAAGCCGCGGGTTATGCTAGTAATTTTATAGACTACTTATAATCACAAAAATAAGATGATTGTTTTAAGATGGTGCTATTTTTATGTTTAATAAGTAGTATAAATTAGTTACTCGTCCCTGTTTTGGGCGTCAATTTTCTTGGTGCGTCAAAGATAATGCGATAATTTCACTTATAAATATGAAAAAATTGCTTTTAGCTACTTTTGTTTTGTTCATGGGTATTTCTTCGAGATTGCGATCTTCGTCTGATTATGATCGTATGATCCAAATATTATTTGGTATGTCTTTAATCATAAGAGTATGTTGAATAGAGCCAAAAATGAAAATAATTTTTGGCCAGATAAATCAAACGAAGAACGCAATCTCGGAGAAATACCCTTATGATAGTCAGGCGTGAGGAATAACCAAGAAGCAAACAAATTCGCATTTTTTATATGTCAAGTTATTTCTATTAGGAGTGTTGTCCAAAAAAAATTTGATCACTTATTAGAAACAATTATAAAACGTTAAATGCAAATTCTTCTTTACCAAAATCGCCTAAAATGGAAAAGTTGTCGAAATATAAGCGAATTCTATTTATGTGTTTTTGTTTCTTACTTCTTCAGGTTATAACGGCGGAACAGCTTGAGATGTAATTCAGAGTATAAATAGCTAACGTCCTGAACTAATATTTATATCTATCGACTTACCACATAGTGGAGTCGCGGTTGAAAACTACTTATCGATTTTTTATCAGTATTTTTAAGGGAACAATTGTAAGAGTAGGATTGAAATGAAATAAAAACCCCAAATGAAATCTTTTTCAATTTTTATTCGACAAAAGAAATTAATTCACTGTTTTTTTGTTTCCGTTTTCCTTATATTACATAGTTATAAAGTAATTATACTATCTAAGCTAAATTTATATGTATATACTCTCTATATAATACAAAACGTATGTACAAACCTCCCGTAAGACCCATTCTAAAGTATTACAGCTTATTTATAGTAAAAAAACCTATAATCAAAGATTTTTCTAACAGTATATGTATGTTTTTGCAATTCACCTAATGAAAATACAGGTTTTTCGTCCATTTTTTTTGTTTTTTCACGGATGTGCCAAAAAAAAGGTTTTTTTGTACTTTAAATAGGCTGTAATATTACAAATAAATTCAGATTGCTTTAAAAATAACAACAGCTTAAATATCTTGCATGCAGAACACGTTTTTGAACAAACTTTCTTTTTTGTAATAAATACATTTTAATAGTTCACCGAAAAATGCACGTCTTATTAACAAAAAAAAATATATTTTTTAATTTTTTTGGCAAACTAGAGTTAAAAAATATAAAATATATTTAGCATTTGCTAATAAGACGCCATGTTGAAACTTAAAATTATGTATCACAACAGACTGGTTTGTGTTCCCGTTTGTTTTTTGTTTAATACTTTCTAAATAAATAAAAATCATCTTTAAAGCTTATTCAATATTTTTAATGGTAGCAAATTTGTCAGCCATTATAATTACAAAAATTAAAAAAAAATCAGCACCAGTTTTATGCTGTTTGGAACTTTTATACACATACAAATTAATATTAATAAAAAAACGAGAAATAAACCTTATAGTCTATTTTTGACAGTTGTCAGGTGATCTACGATAATGAAAAAGTGTGGGTCCAATCCTATAGTGCCAACTATTAAATAAAAAAATCGAAATATGACGCTTAAAATCTATTACTTCAAAGTTTTCTTTTTATAAAAAAAACTTTTTATCATGTATGAAGCAAGTTTGTTCTAAAATTATCGTTGGCAACGAATATAAATTCAAAATTTTAACAGTTTACATAATTCGGTGACCACACGATGCATTCAGATATTTTTAAATTATTCAAAAGAAGCACAAAAAAATAAGAAAAAAAAAATACAAATTATTGCACAATTTATTAATAGTGACATTTACATTTAAGATTGTTAAAATATATACAGAATGTTAAATTACTATAATATATATGTATTTTGACATTATTATGTACATCAGTCAAAATCGGTTTTGCTTATGCTATTAGGGTAAAATTTTAATGGCATACACCACACAGAACTATACGGGTTAAAAAAATAAAAAATTGTCGTCGTGGCCACCGATGGTTAAATATACTTCATTAATATTAAATTTACAATAATTATAAACATTTAAATCTATTTATTAGACATTTACAGTGATTTTATTATTTTAGATAATATTCTTATCTTATTTATGTTGGTTGTGTAAATCCACCATTTTATGCGCTACGCCATTTTGTTTTGCGTTAAGTGAAAAAAATGTTTTGAATATATTTAACTTTTTTTTCAGTTTGTCCGTCGATCTTTACACGGCCGGCCAGACCCTGTAGACAAACAATTTTCTATTATTAATAATGTAGAGCCAAATATATCTAGAAAGGACGTAATTTTAAATTTTGTTCCCTATATTATCGTGCTTATGAAAAAAAATAACTAAAAACAAATTACGCCCTCTCTTATACAAAAAAAATATTTGGATACGATTGAAATGTTAGTGTATGCCATTAAATTTATTATGCTTGGTGAAATATACGTACATCCAAAAAACGAAATGGCTGAGACATTTTGATAAACCTCCAAAATTAAAACTCTTTTTGCTAATAACGAAAAAAACCTGGTTTAAACCAAAAAAATGCGAGGCAAATATAGTTTTTCAAAGTACCTCAGCCATTGTATTAACATTAAATCTATCTACTTTCTAAGCCATTCAATGCGCTCAAAGTCTTCAGCTGTCATAGTTATTTTGATCGTTCCCCAGAAACTGACTCCTCAAACCCATGCGATGGAATAAAGCTAGGCCGTTATCACTGCAAATAATATTTTTGTTTTATATATTATTTATATAAATTGACCTAAATTCACGGAATAAAAAAAAACTAATCATGAGTACTGCCGACAGAAGTGAAAACTTAAAGCTATAAACAAACAGTTGTCATTTTTGGATATTTAAATTAATTTTTTATCTTAAATTAAAATTTGTAGATTAAAACTGTTTACGTTTATCACGTGACCATGTCGATGACGACTTACACGAACTTACGCCCCATCCAAACCTGCCTATAGAAGTTTTCATTTCAAAAAGTACTGTACTTTGTTAAAAAATATTTTTTGTATGACTTGTAAAGAAACATCTTTGACTCTAGGAGTTTGTAAGAAGTTGTTCTAAGCAACTTAATAATACTTTATAATGTAAACATTTTAAAAAATCTTTTTTTCAAACTTATTTTTATCAAGTTTTAATTTTATGATAATTATTTAAAAAATATAATTTATTATATATTTTTTTCATTCTCTATTTTATCATATTTTATCTACTTTAATTTTATCATAATTATCAGAAAACATTTCCAATTCAATTTTATTTTCTATATAACAGTTATACTCACGTCAGAAGTCCAGGATTTGCATCCGCTTGATACCATGAATATTGGGGCACGTATGGCGGATGTGGTTGCGGAGCGCCCTGGTGTAGGGCGTGGTGGCCTTTCATGTCCCAGGGTCCAGGGGGCGCGCCCTAGGGGAGAAGAGTGGGTTAGTTTCTTAGAAAAAAGTTAAGTAAGTAAATAGCTTAAATTAATTAGCTAAGGCTTCACGCTTGGTAATTAATGAGTCAATCATATTTTTTGTGCGTTTGTGCATGTTTGCTACAGTTATGGGACCTTTTTATATATATAATTTTCTCCTGGCCGATTCCAGCTATGGCGGCCAATCTTAATGAGACTAGCCAACTGCGCAGGAGATATTATAGTGCACAAGTGTACGCGCAGACACAAGTGCACTCTCTATTCCTGTCACTCTCATACTGCGATGGGACGACTGCTCGACATGACCAGTAAGAGTTAAGGCGCAGGACCGACGGCTTTACGTGCTCTCCGAGGTACGGGGGTGAGACACCGCCAACTTCCCAACTCCAGGCTGTTACTGAGAATTACTATACAGAAAGACTCGATAACTAAACTTGGCCCGACCCGGGACTCAAACCCAGGACCTCCGAGTGTGCAGCCGTACATGCTAGCCACTACACCATCGAGGCAGTTAATGTTAGTTAAGTTTATGTTATAGATATAGTGTATCACTGTATAGGCATAGGATATAGAGTGTTGGCCTGAGGGCGCGGCCTGGAGTAATACTTTTCTCTTTTCGTTTATATGTGGTAAGTACTAATTAGCTACTTCGTCTTCATTACATGTTTTTAATATGTAAAGTTTATAAATATGTTGATTTTTATATAATAATTTAACTCGTCAATTTTTCTATTCTAATAAATTAATATTTTATCCCTGTTTAAAACAAAAATCTTTTTATTAAGTAAGGAATAAAATTATAAATAGCTTATGATTTATTTGTGGGTAAGACTAAAAAAAATTTCAATATATAATATTCCCATGTCACGATGTTCGTCCACGTTGAACTCCGAAACTGTTTATCCGATCTTAATGTATTTTTTATCAAAATATGTGATTTTTTCCAACTTAAAAGATAGCATAGTATTTAGCCAAACTATTTCCTTTTTTAAATGCAATATTAACGAATTTCATATCCGGAAAAGCGGCTGCCCTAAGCTACTTGGACGAATCATAAGTGTACCATAGAAACACGTGGCCGGGTCTGCTATAGTACCTCTAGCTATCTATACTAATATTATAAGTAGGAAAAATTTAATTTTTTGTTTATTTGTTTGTTTGTACCGAATAGGCCGATTTATATGAAATTTGGTAAGAAGATATTTTGAGACACTGGAAAGAATATATAATAGTTTTTATCCCGGAAATCATCCCTTAAAGGGGTGAAAATGAGGATGAAAGCTGTATGGGAAAGCAACTGAGGTACGAACCCGAGCTAAGCGACGGTAAGTCGCTAGTCTAAAATATTTTCCAAATAAATAAAATTTCTCACTCATTGTCATGTACCTGATAACAAATGAACGCAATATTTTACGAGTACATATTCCATATATTGCTAAGATTTTTGAAACTTAACAAGAGAATATTTAAATTTTCTAAAAATGTTATGACACACTTTCATTGATACCATTTGTATTTAACGATATAATTAAATATTATCGAATCAAAGTCAATTTTGACTTACTCTATATAAATCATAAATATATTTACGACATAATATTTTAGAATTTTACATTATAATATTTAAAAGTACTATTTTTACTTCTATATTCTTATTTTTCTATAGGATAGATATAGAGCACTAACAACATCACTACATAGTATAAAACAAAGTCGCTTTCTCTGTCCCTATATCCCTATGTATGCTTAAATCTTTAAAACTAAGCATCGGATTTTGATGCGGTTTTTTTAATAGATAGAGTGATTCAAGAGGAAGGTTGTAGTATATAATTTGTTAAGTTTTTGTATACATTGGCTAAAATATAACGATATTTGTTGGAGGTGTCGGAAAAAATGAGACGTCTGGGAGCTTTCAACGAAAACGCTGTCTAAACCCTTTGAGATATAACAAAATAATGTATGGTGGAATTGTGTATCTTGTATAGGTCTACAGAAAAGTCCGCGATGGCATATGTCTATCTCTTAAGGATAACATACTATATCCATTTTAATTTAAAACGTACCTAGGGACGAACCCGAGCGAAGCGAGGGTGAGTCGCTAGTCTTTTATAAATCCCATGATCAATACCATGCTTAGTTATTAGAAAATCTTTTTATACTAGGGGAGCTTAAGAGGAGGCCAAGCGCGGTATATTAACCTAAGGGGCGATATCTTACATTCTGCTGAGAACCTCCACCATTTTATAAGTCCTCTGTAATAAGGTCGCGCGTCTAGGGCAGTCATCCGAAATATTAAAAAAATATTTTAATGTGGTGAGAAATACTTAAATTACATGCTGAAAAGTGTGCAATTCATCAACCGATTTCCACAAACCGAAAAAAACAAAAGTCGTCCATAAACTCTTAACGTAATTTGGGTAAATCCCAAAATACCCTCTTGGGTTACCCCACTATAATATTTTCCAATTTTTTATTGTTTCTGTAAAATAGTATATAATATCTTTCCATTGCTCCAAACAACGTTAATCTAATAAAGTAGAATCATTCCAATTTATGTAAAATGTTAGGTGTGGCGGATGACGCCCATCTATATATGAGTATATAGTGTACGTGTTGACTTTAACACGCAATGTTGGTGACATTTTATTTGATTAAATTTTAATAATTATTATTAGTTTATTACTGAATTAAAAGCTACTGAACAACAAGTTCAGAAAGGGAGTATAATTTTTTTTATTAAAATACACCATTTATATCGATAGTATTTCCATCTTAGGGTAAGGAAAAATGATGGTGCAAAAAGCATTTTTTTCCCATAAAGGCGCATTCTCTAACAAGCTTTCTAAATGTGGAGTCACTAGTTTAGTTTCAGTGCATTTTTTTTGTGTATAGACACGAAAAGTAAAAGAGAGAGGGAGAGAAAGGTAGTCCTTCTGCTTTCTCCTAAAGGACGAAAACGTAGAGTTCATACATAATTGTACTTACATATCCAACTCTTGGATCCCACGATTGTTGATGTGGTGGCTTTACATCACACGAAGTACCATCCGGGGATCGGCCTGCTGTAGGCTGTAACAAAAATGATAAGTTAAAATAGGCTATAGGGTCACCCATCAAGTGTCTGCTTCTGAGAAAGTTGTTTGACTTTAATTAGGTTTAGGTAATTAGTGGTGAAAGTTAAACAGAATTTTACTTCAATTTATCGAACTGACTAAAACTATTAAAGGCGCAGATTTTAATTTGCACAAAAATATACGCTGTTTTGACGATATAAGTCAGTATCGGATAAAATATTTTTTTGATTATTTGCTCTAGCAGATGAAAAAAACTCAATTATTCATTGTGAAAAAGTAAAAAAATAGAGAAACTATGTATAAATGAAAATTATATAGTATTTCATAAAATTTCTTACATATCCAACCTTTACATCCCAAGATGGCTGCGGAGGCTGCTTCACATCCCATGGGGTGCCTGTGGGCGATAGTCCCGGAGACAGCTCAGATACCGGTGTAGAACTTGGGGTAGGCGAGTGTGCTTGAGTCGGACCACTCTGGTATGCTGATGGAGAGTGTTGTGATCCGCTAGAACTGCCTCCACCACCTGTTGACAAAATTTTCAATTTTATTTATAATCTTTGACGACAAAATCATTGCAAGATAAGCAGCATGCATAGAAAAAAAACACATTTAGTTTTATTTAATTTTGTGGGCAAATTTTTAAATTATATTTCTTAAAAACCTTACTAGGACCAATATGGATATTATTTTTAAATAAAAATTAGCCTAATCGGTCCAGAATTTCTATGTACATGTATATTGTATATGTAGACAAGATTTCAAAATTTCCGATGAAAATACCTTATAATAATATAATATCTATTATGTTTGAATAGTAGTTGATATTATAATAATCTTAGACAGAAATCGTAGAAAAGGGATAGGGGAAATCATATAAGGGTGAATAAAGATGATATCTTTGTCAATTGAGAGCCAATTTTAATAATTTTACCTTAAGGGTGGTAACAAACTCCACCCCTACAGGTTTCACAAACATTTTCAATGAAATTCATTAACTAATAAACTAATTCATTCACACATCGTGACCGTTATCAATCGATTTATTTAATACTATTTAGACGACTTGCCCTCGCTTGGTTCGGGTGCTTCCCTACGTACCTGGATTTGGTTCAAAATTTCATGGATTTAAATTTCGTTGCGCGGAACCCTAATTTTTTTCTCTATAATGAAAGTAGGCTAAGTTTGTCCTTTAAAATCAGCTTTCAGCTAGTGCTACTACATTTATGTAGATTATATTTACTTACCATGTAAAAGTTGATTGTTATTGGGCGGACTGCCGGGGGGAAGTCCCAGGCCGGGAGGAGCGGCGCCCACCTGCGCAGCCTTCATCATCTTTTTGTATTTACTGCGACGATTCTGGAACCAGATCTTCACCTGGAAAAGACGAGATGTTATAGAATATGCTTAAGGCTGATATTTTATTATTCTCATTTCACCTAATTTTAAAGAAAAAATGTGTAAAATGACATATTATAAATTTGTAGAGTCAATTAATTTGTACTTTTATAGATAACTATATCTTCAAGTTAGAATTGGATTATTATTTAAAAATGCAGGTAAGCTATTTAACAATTTCACTTAATTTAAAGTAACAAACATTATTATGTACGTTCTAATGCATTTTAATACTAGTGGGATTTTGCAATTATATCTCTAAATTATCGATGTAATGTTGATTTCTTATTTATTTAAAATAAATGTACTAAGCTAGAATCAAACTCAGTACCACCATAAAATAAATAAACCTCTGTTTATTCGATCGCTTATATGCCATTGGTATATTATACATAATTCCATACTTCTATGAATACACAATCAATCTATAAAATTCAAATTTACCAAACGTTTTTTTAGAATTCAACAAAACACGCACAGGGTTGCGTGAGAGAGGGCGGAGCGAGGGCGAGCTAGCCGTTACCAAGCATTAGTGTAGTGATGTAAGTTTCATCGACAATAGAATATATGCTGTCACGCTAATATAAACTAGCAAGTTATTCTGGCTTTGCTCGGACCTTAGAAGCCTTTTGTATTTATAATTTACACAGATAAAATTGGTTACTTAACTCTAGTCTATTTATTACTCTAGGTTATAAAAAACAAGTTAAAACAGTTCAGTAATTTTTTTTATTCTGTCAACTAATTTCCTTTTTTTTTTTTAGAGGCTACAACGTTGACATGCTTTAGTGTTATCAATAAAACTGTTAAATTTTGGAATGAGTTTTTATAGATAGATAAAGCTATTAATATACATATTATGTTAGTATTAAATTTTAAATTATGATTATGGTAGGATTTCAATTAGGTGAACTCTTATGTTATATTAATAACTGCATCTTTGGCTCAGTGATTGGCTTAATACGGGTGTGGTACTGAGTTTGATTCAATCTGATGCAAATACTTATAAAAAAACTAGTGATCAATCACAGAGTATTCCTAAGGTTGCTTGCAATACATGATTAACCAATAGAAACCACTTATTATAGGATATAAAGTAGACTAAATTATCCTACAACCAAAAGTATCTCTAAGAAGGTGACATGTACCTGTTGCTATGTCAACAAATTCAGAAACACATACAGACAAACATCTTCACATTCAAAATATATGCAAATTATATAGGTACCAATAAATAAAAAATAAAAAAATACTCATAATTGGACGAATATCGTATATTTATCATAATAAATATAGTAATCAGTATCAAAAATTAATTTAAACCAATCAATTCGTTAAATATTGTTATTTATTTATTAAAAACCAATTAATCTTTTCATGAAAATAGTTATAATTGCTGGTTTGTAACATATAATCAAACATAATTAAGTGTTTAATCGAAATACGAATACTGTAACAGCAAAAAGGTGATATTATACCCACTTATATGTTAATACTCCTTAAATAGACATAAAAATGTGATAAAAATCATACTTAGTCGAGATTCATGCAATAATTACAACTCATGTCAGCCATTCGATATTTTAAATGAACTGTATCTTAAGCAGTGCGACAGCGACATTATTGTTAAACGATATATCAGAACAAATTATTAACAGCAACAGGTTATTGCTTATTGACACTATAATCTTGTTTTATATTAATTTTATGTAACACTTGATTATGTAAGCCAGTGGGTTTAAAAATATGGATGTATATATATAATAATATAGGAATAAAATAGAATTACGTTAGCTGTGGTCACAGATTCGATTTTTGGATAGTTTTCTATAGTTTCTAACAAAATATATACAGTATAATGGAATATAATATAGAAACCTAGAACCTTGTTAGTTTAAGTCAGAGAAAGCTGCAAGAAAAATAATTACTATAATTCATCTATCTGATTACTATCTGATTACGTAAGCCAGTGAGTTTAAAAATATGGATATATGTACCATATACCTACATATATAATAAAATATATAAAAGATAAATTAATACAAACTCCACTTTCACGCTGAAACGACTGGACGTATTTTGATGGAGTTTAGTGCGCAGATACATACATAGATTATGGCCTGGAGTAGCACATAAGCTGTTAGCCACTTAAGGGGACATCTGAGCAAACCAACGATATGTAACTTGTCCATAATGAATAATAGGATACCTTTAATTTAGTAAAGGTGTATGAGATATTTTGGAGAGGCAGCGTAATTGAAACGAGGCCTAAATAACTCGATAGTAAAAGGACCGAATGATATGCAAGGTCATTCATTCAACTATGCTTTATTTATCTCTTTCGAGCTTTGAAATTCATAGTTCATATTTAATAAATCATTATTGTTATTTTTAATATTTATACTTGAATAAAACTAGTTATATAACGTGATATTATATGAATTTCTGAAACATGCATATGACATGGGCACAATTACAAAACAATTTAAATACAATAAATACAATATGCTCCGAGAAAGAGTCGAACTTGTAGCCTTCGGCATAAATATTGAGGCCATTACGCCAATTTTTATTCACTCAAAAACAAGTTAATTCAAAAACGTTAAAAAACCTTTTGTTTATCGATAAAATAAATGCCTTCACTAAACCCCACCCCTGTATTCGCTGGGTCAAGTCACGGCTTAACCTCATACCTAACCTATTCTATTGGTATTCACTCCAATTGACTCCCTCGCAAGGTTATATCGAAATTACTTCATATCTTTGTCATACTTTTTGCTGTTTTTTTCTATTTTCCTTTCAAAGTTTCTACGATTTTTAATTTAAAGACTAAAAACAGTATATTAATAATTTAACTTTAATTACATATATGTATAAGTATTTACCATGTACCTACTTGGTATGGATTTTTTTATTATCTATGCAGATTAAAAATATTTTTAAGAAGAAGGAATGTTTCTGAAAAATAATTATTATAAAAATATTAATGTCGCTTAAAAAATATTATGTTTGTTGTAAATATCTGAATTTAAATCACAATATTATTGTAAAAATAATTGCATTTATAATAAAATAATTGAATAATTGTAATACAAATTCGACGTTGGCTGAATAAAACCGCACTTTGCATGACAATGCCCTAAAAATTCAAAACAAAATGGCCGTCACCGCAACATATGGACGACCGCAATGATATGGTTTCCTTCATGTACCTACAACAGATTGTTTAAATACATGGGAAAGTTTTGTATTGTTATTTAATTTAAAAAAATCTGGAAACGTATTGTTAAATATTTTTTACTATAATATCAATGTAAGAAACCTATTGTTTAAATTAATATTTTTAACCAATAAATATTCCTTGGTTTTGAAAATATTCATTCAAAACATCATCAAATGTATCTATCTATAGGTATACAAGATTATGTACCATATTATCTAATATATATAATATTTAATATATATACCCATACTAATATTATAAATGTAAAAGTTTCTAAGGATGGATGGATGGATGGATGTTTGTTACTCTTCCAGAACAACTGAACGGATCTGGGTGAAATCTGGCACAGAGATAATTTATAGTCGGAAATAGCACTTAAGTTACTATTTATACCAGAAAAATGAACGGTTCCCATGGGATAGATTTCTTTTTGTACAAGAGTGTGTCGCTAGTAATTTAAAAATAAAAGTATGTTTTATATTAGCTGACAATCAATTACTTTTTACTTAAAGAAACACTAATATTGTTTTATAATGCAATATTTTCTTACACGATTTTTGGTGATGGCAAGTATTGTAATAGGAGTACATATTACGGTGCTTTAAATACGACAGACTCAGCCTTTTCTATTAATTTCACAGTTTAAATCTACGACGAGATCAAACCTTTCAAAGGATTTTTAGACATAAACTTAATTTTTTTCTTGACGTGGGACTCGAATCTAACCTCTTGTTCTGCCGTATAAGTAAGCTTTTAAACCAATAAGACAAACGCAATGGAGTAATAAGCCACCATTTACTACAATTAAAATGTTTTGCGTTGACATTCATCAATAGAGTGGTCCTTTCTTGTATATGTCAGAGTCAGACCATGACAATAAATCTAAATTTTACATTATTTTATTTTCCCGTCTATTTCTACTTGTGTCTATATTAATTACGTAAGAATTAAAAAAAATATGTCCAAGAGAATCAAACCCGCAATAACATTCAATGATGATGATCCTTAAAAACTTTTGATTTTGTGCGGATCGGAAATATTTTGGTGCGTTTCTTTAGAGAAAGCTACCTATAGGCAAATGTTGCCAATAGTAGGCTATATGCTATTCCAAATCATAATCTATCTTTGTACTTTGTACATCCAGCCATACAAATTTTTGTATGGCTACTGCAACTCTAATAAGAAGAAAATTGAAGAGAGGACTTCATTTTTTAAATTAATCTGTATAAATATTATAAATATGAAAGTTTGTGAGTATGTATCGATGTTTGTTACTCTTTCAGGCCAGAACGGCTGAACGGATCTGAATGAAATTTCGCACAGATATAAATTATACACTATAAATCAGAATAACATATAGCCTACTTTTTATCCCGGAAAAATACACGGTTCCCGAGGGATAGATTTGTTATTGTTTTTCAAGAGGTGAACCCGAGCGAAGCAGGGGCGAAATGTCTATACAAGACGCCTTACCTTAAAATTATTTTGCTATAATTTTACAAACATTAAATAAAACTATCTTTTCGGATTATTTCGCGGATTTATTTTGATTTTTGGTTCCCGACGTTTCGAATGCTTTACAGCATCCATGGTCACGGGAGAGACTGAGGTGTTACATGTCTTAAAGATATAGTTGTTACAGACAGCCTACCCACAATTAACGGGAAATTGTCGGGAACCAAAAATCAAAATAAATCCGCGAAATAATCCGAAAAGATAGTTTTATTTAAAAATGTCAAACATTCGCGTAAATCTAAGAAAGTATTTACAAACATTAAATTTTTAAATGTTCTTTTGGAAATATATACATATATCAATAATAGTTTTATTTCCTTCTGCATTAATACGTATATAAAAATTGTGTATTTTAGGAACGGCTTACCCTTCGCCGCTGATGGCTACATACTTATGTAACTTTCCCTTATATAACTGTGATGTGATAATTGTTTTAAAGCTCTATAGAATCTAGTTAAGATTTAACTAAAATTGGTAACAATTAAGCAAACAATATCAAAAATACGTTCATATCTCCACGAATTTACCCGGTTTTTCCGACATTTTGTTGCCGCGGTATGCACGGCCATACCTTGGCATCCAACATACGGCGGCGAATTCAAAGGAATATCGGACATAGACCGCATAGCACTAAGAACTTGGTGCTGGTACAGCTATTCTACCACTTGAATGGACGGTATTATGCGTATTTGTCAATCTGCAAATGGAAATATCTTGTAGTTTTGTTAATAAATCAGAAGAACTTTCTATAATCTATGGGTTTTTAGAGAATAATGAAATTGTGAGGATAGTTTCTTTGGATTAATGGGAATTGTTTATAGTAAGAACTTTGCGAGTAAATGAAATTTAAATTTGCTTCAGTTATGGTCATTTGTTACTTTATTTTTTTGAATGTGCTTATGCAAAAGCTTATGATGTCAATGTAAAATTTATAGGATATCTATCTTTAAGGTTCAGCATTTTCTTCGATAACGCGTATGCTGATGTATATTATGTAATTATTATGCCCTTCAAAATTATTCTAAATACACTATTCCTATGAAAACAATCAAGTTCTTTCGCTAAGACAGAGTATTTATATTCGATATCGACGATTCACTGTATATAATATATTTTTTACAAAAAATTGGCCGATCTATTGCTTTATTGCATTTCATATTGCATAAGAGAAAACCAAAAAACACAAACAAACTGACAAACATTCACTTTAAAAAAACTAATAGTATTAAGTATATATTATAAATATAAATTTATTTAAATATATAAAATAAAGGGGTAAATAAATGGTACATTTAATGATTGGCCAATACGAAGAAAATTTATCTTCTGCTATACTTACATTGTTGTTTTAGCATTGTTTACTTATATTGCTGTAAATAAAAAAAAATAGGTCTTCAACTAATAAAATCACAAAGTGTCTGATATATAACTTAACACATCTTGATGAAACTTTGCTCACTCCATATAGGATGGCTACAAGACGTTCTATTAAGCAATTATCTTATTTACAAATCGCATCAATTACAAGAACGACTCAATTTGCGAATTACATACATATCCAGTACATATAAATAATTAAAAAGTTATTAATATTTATGCATTGTCCGATCGCGCATGACACTGTTCTTTACTTTTTTTTTGAAAAAAAACGGTAGCGGGTATAAAACTGCATGCCGCGGCCGGACACTGAATGACGTGGAGACGCGTTCCTTTTGAAATTGTCTTTCTTTTATCAAGGATGCTATTCTGTGGTTTTTTTTGTAAATTGTGCTCGACTATGCGCGTTTTTTTGCGAATTTTGTTTGCATATATGCAAGTTATTTTTAGATGTAAAGAGAAATAAAGTATTTTTGTTGAAATGTAATAAATTTACTTAACTTTATTAAATGTAAGGTCGTATAGATATACCTATAGCTTTAACTTCTCTTAAAATTTAAAAAAAATGTACATATAAACAATTCTTTTAACAAATTCAAAAAACGATAAAAGACGATTTTTTACTGACCCATAAATAATATAACTCTAGCACGATACAAAATGATTTATAAGCATGCAATTTTAATTCACTAATTGTACGATGTTAATCTATTAAAAAATAATTTATTAATGTTGACCTTCGCGGCTCAATGGATTTGAGATTGACAATAAAGTTATGACAGCTGACGTCAATTCGATTACGGTATATGCATTAGAACGAAATATAAATCAATTTTTGAATTAATTTATGTATTAATAAAATACCAAAGTCTTGTATTAATAAAATTTTAGTATAATATTACTAATGCGTAAAATTATATTTTGCTGCTAATTCCAAAAACTTTTTAAAATATATTCAATAAGATTACAATAATAACAATATTAACGTGAGTACAGATAAAATAACTTTAATTTTTTTTAAATAAAATAATAATAAAAATAGGTAGTTAAATAAGTTGATATAAAAGATTTAAATTTATTATAGTATTTTGGTTTTGTAATAATTTATTAACTGCCTAAGTTCCACATATTGAGTGAAGTCGATTGGCACTAAATGTTTTAAAAGGGCATACCGTTTAACATCCAAGATGGAAGCGTCTTTAATTAAATTAACTCACAATGATGTCGTCGGATGGTCAACAATTGGTTTTTCACCTTTTCTTAAAATTAGGCGGAAATGATTTCGATGCGATTTTAATGGGACCTCCAATGAGTTTAAGGAGACTTATCCAGATCGTTATGATACTATTTTTTAATTGGCCAAAGACTGCCAGGATGTAATTTATTTTATTTTATATAATATATATCTGCAAAATAAAAAAATATTATTATATTTTTGTAATCTGTTGTTGCATATTATAATACCGCAATGAAAGAAAACTAAATTTTTAAATTATAAAGTAGTACTAATATAAAAAGATATTATCTCAGACCCTTATAAACTTAAAAAAAATACTGTCACTCAATTTATTTCTGAAGCGTTGAAGTAAGCTATCACACCATTTCTGATTGGCAATTAATTTTCCTAAAGTGATGTCATTAGCACTTCCATATCGATATTAATTTAACGAATACGAATGATACATTATTTTAGAAATAAAAACAGACTTTATTATGTCTAATGTAGGTATAATACTTTATTAGATTTACGCGAATATTTGACATTTTAAAGCTATCTTTTCGGATTTTTTCGCGGATTTATTTTGATTTTTGGTTCTCGACGTTTCGAATGCTTTACAGCAACCATGGTCACGGAAAATCAAAATAAAGTCCGAAAAAAATATAATATATAAGAAGAATATAGGAGTTATATTTAAAATATAATGTATAACTTAGAAACGAAAATACTAAATGTTACAGTCAGCTAATGTTCTATTATATATAGATATAAAAAGGCAATAAAATTTATGTCATGTTAACACAATCTCCATAGTTTCCGATAGTCGTTTGGCACAAATACGTCAAGTGGTCATCGTCGCGGTCACATCGTTTGCCGCTTCCAGTTGAATTTGTCTTTCGATTGCAAAAATAAAACTCAGGATTGACTATTGACGTTATTTTATTACACAGAATTTTAAAAACAATATAATAATTAAGTTTTTTTTTTAATAATTTGCAAATATATGTGTGTCTTTACGTACAAATTAATGTTTGAAAGAGATTTTGTACTTGTTTCAAGTATCTTAAAGAGAGTGAGCGAGATGCAGTTATGGAAAATAACCATTAATAAATAATTTTTATAATAAATACAATATAATTATATTTATTAATAATTTATTAAAAGCGTTAAAACGCTAAAGCGTAATTATTAAAATATTCATAATAGGGAAAACAGTAATTACTAAATATTTCTTTGACATAACAAATGGAGGCACTAAAATAATAAACTTTAAACCAAACATTCTTTGTTTTCCATTTAAAGAAATAAGCAAAAAATCTTTATACCGCGAACAAATAAATTATTAATACATGCGTTTCGCGTAAAACAAATTTGTAATGATTAAAATCTTTCATATATACCTTATTGATTGTTAATAGAGTTTATGGTGTATCGATGTCGACTAACACTTTTTATCGATTCACGACCGTCACTAATGGTTTGCGCAATGACGATTTATGGCGGTACTTTGTTGAGACATATAGGGAGTTAATATTCTTATAGCATATCGAGAGAATTTTCATTACAGATTACAGTTTCACGCTATCTGTTGCGTATTTGACAAGACCATCTTTCTGATGATAAGATTGATGATGAGTTGATGGATTTAATACATCACTATTTACTATGAATTTTCTTCATTATTTTCACTTTATATCACGTCAAAACGATTATTTCTCATAAATTAAATGCAATTTTGCTTATAATAATAATTGTTTATTATCTTACGTTGGTACACTTTAGGCCTTGCCATTTTAAGCTGTAGTCAGTTCTTGTAAAAAGTAACGAAACTTTTTGCGTGTATAAGTGAAAGCTCGCGGGTCTTTCACAAAATGTCTTTATCTTTGCCGACACAGTTTTATTACTGACGCGCGGGCATTTTATTTTTTATCTGTCAGATTGTATAGCTATCTTCTATCGATGAACAAAAAAAACTTGTTTGGACGTCACTAATTCATTATTAATGCTTTTGTCATAGTGTTGACAGATATGTTTCTGTTGGAGACAAAGATGAATTAATAATTGAATTGATTTTTGATTTATTTCTTCACACATTAGCTTTATGTCAATAGCGAAACGAGATTGTTACTTTTTTAAAATACTCTGTTTATAAATATTATATTTTTTGGAACAGTGACTGCCGCCACTTTTATCTACTGCTAATTACCACTATATAACGTACTAGCGAGTTAATCTTGCTTCGTTTGGAAGTGTATAATCTATACGAATATTATAAAAAGGTAAAGTTTGTGAGTTTGTGAATTATGAGTTTTGACGTTGTAGGGGGTAATCTCTAGATGTACTGAACCGATTTAGATTAAATTTGGTATGAAGATAGTTTGGGACCCTGGAAAGGACATAGGATATTTTTTATCCCGTAAATCATCCCTAAAGAGGGTGAAAATGGGAATGAAAGTTTGTATTGGGAAGCAAGTCAGGGTCGAACCCGAGCGAAGCGAGGGTGAGTCGCTAGTATTATATACAGGCACCGCTATTATTTGACAATTTTTATAACTACTCCAAGTCAAAATCTATTTGTGTACTTTAATTTCATCCAAATCCGTCCGTTAAGGATTATCTATAATTATTAGTAGAGTGATTTAGGTCGTATGCGTATCATATGTATGTCTCATACAAACATTCATCCTATGGGATAATCGAAGTCACGACCTCCGGCGAAGTGGATAGTGTGAGTCACGTCCCTTTTTACCATGACAGACGTAGTTATACGTCGATTGAATTTAAATATTTCGCAATCAATATTCACGTCATGAGCAACGGTAAATAAAAACCATGCAGAACCAGTACGCCTTGGAAGAAATTCTAAGACCTTACCTCCACAAAAGGGGTATTGTGGGCAATACTCCCTACCCATAAAAGAGGATATGTACTATGTTTTTCCTACTAATTTACTTATATGCATTTATTTTTCATCCACAAACATTAAACATACCTTTGGCTTTACAACAAATGATGGAGCTTAGACAAAAT